GGGGGGGAGGCGGTGGGGAAGGAGGGCGAAACTCAGAGCTCGTCCCGCTCTTGGGGTGGCAGAGCTGCAGGTCACTTTGGTGCAGGTGGGCTTCCGTGGAGCGTGGGGCTGCACCTCCCTCTTGCGAGGGTATGGCTAGGGTCACCCCCCAACCCACCTGGGGCTGGAGGAGCCTTTGGATGCTAGGGTAAGGCTAGGATAACCCCACCCCAGCTGGAAGAAGGGCTGAGGAACCGAAAGGGATGTCCTCTTGCACGTGGTACTGCAGATACCTAGAAGAGGTGTAGCACCATCAACCTGCCCAGAAGTTTTGAGGTAGCCCCCCAAGGCTGGCAGCGTTGCCCCAGAGACCTGCGCTTGCCTTGCAGAGGGATCCGCGTGGGGTACACCCCCGATGTCCTGACTGACGCCACCGCAGAGCTCTCCGTAGCTTTACTTCTGGCTGTGTGCCGCCGGCTGCCGGAGGCAGTGGAGCAGGCAAAGAAGTGAGTATCCGCAGCTGCTACCTGGAGCAAGGGCTGGCTTCTGAGCCCAGCAGCCCCTGGGTCGAGAGCTGCAGGTAGAAAGTGTGCCACGCTGGACAGGTAAAACAGGGCTGAAGCCAGAGTTTCACCCGGCTTGCACCGAACATCTTGCAGGCCAAGACGGAGTCCCCCTGCGGTTGCATGAGTGTTTGGAGACATGCTGCTTAGGGTCTGCGAGAGGGGCAGAAGTCCCCTCCGTGTGCTAGGTAGAGGACCTGCAGGAGAGGGCATCCAAGGCCACCGCCGACCCCTCGAGGGCAGCACACATGGAAGGTCTGTCCGAAGCTCACTGACTGGCAGCCACTCCAGGGCTGTGGCTGGCAGCGCCTAAATTAAATCAGTCCCGAGGCTGCTGCTGCTGCGCACCCGAGGTCCAAGCAGATTCCTGCGGGAGACTGCCGAGCTCACTTGAACCAGGAACCTCAGAGAGGCTGGCTGTAAGACTGTCTGTGCCACAGGGGCTCGCCGCCCTCAGCATTGTACTCTCGGGTGTACTTGCCAAAATGCTGTTCTGGGGTATGAGCAGGCTCTACCCTGCTGCTGTCTGACATCTCTTTCTATCTCGGTCTCTCTGCTAGTGGTGGCTGGACAACATGGAAGCCCTTATGGATGTGTGGCTACGGTCTGTCTGACAGCACGGTGGGCATCATAGGACTGGGGAGAATAGGTAAGTGCAGGTCAGGCGCAAGATTTGTGTGTCTCCCGTGATGGCAGGGTAGTTTTCAAGGTTCAGCCAAGGTGGTGTCTCCAGCGCTCACCTCTTTAAAATCTATGAGAACAAAAAGGGGAGCTGTGTAGAGCCACTGTGAACAGCGGTCTTGACCCATCAGGCGTAAACCTTAGAAGTTTAAAGCATTCAAACGCATCTGCTACATCTGAATGCCACAGCAAACTGGACGTTGTCCCCTTGATTTTCATTAAACAAATGCCCTGACAAAGTCCAAGATGATGCGCTTGTTATCCGTTCAGCTGTGGACTTTGTCAGCAGACGGCTGTTTCTTTTCTCACTTTCCAGTTTGCTCCCTAGGGTACCTTCAGGTTTAACGTCCTGCAGCTCCCTTTCTGCAGTTTTACTCTGGCAGGGCATTCATTCCTGCTTATGTGAGGAGCAGCAGAAGACATCCAACCCCACCCACCCACCCCATGCCCCCCCATGCTGCAGGCTTGGAAGCAGCCCAGCAGGAGCGATCCCACCACAGCGACCCTTTAGCAAGCGATGTGCTCTGCTCGCTGCGGCACTGTCAAGCCACACCGAGCGCCAGCTTGCCGAGGGACGGACCCCCTGAAGAGGCCTGACGGACCCCCACGGCCTGGTGTTCGTCTCTGTGTGAAACGCCTCGTGCAGGCGCTGGCACAGCGGCTGGACAGCCTTCTCTCTCGCTCCTAGGACAGGCGGTTGCCCGCCGCCTAAAGCCATTTGGGGTCAAGAAGTTTTTGTACACTGGCAGTTGCCCGAAGCCAGAGACTGCTGCAGAGTTTGAAGCTGAGTTTGGTAAGAAAACACCAGGAGCAGGGGCAGTGGTCGGGTCGTCCGGTGCAGGGCAGCAGGGAGCACTGCGGCTGGTGTCTCCTCGGTGTAGCTGCCGTGAACCACTGTGGGGGTAGCAAAGGAGGGAATGGTGAATCCCAAACATTTCCCATGCAGCGGTGGTGGATGGCAGGGAGGGAAACCTGCCTCCTTTGAGCTGGGCGATTCCAGCCAGAAGGCTGGACACACCTGGGCTCTAACTGACCGCCCACTGTAATTGTGGACTGCGGCTGTTTCTCCTGGGTCTTGTGGACCATCGCCCATGGATGGGTACAGAGACATCCTGCAGGGAGGAAGGGATGGGCTGAGGCTGACTGCAGATCTTCACTGAGAGTTGGTGTTGGTTGCTGGAAACAAACATCAGCTTTAACCTCCTGCTTTAAAATGAATGTCGCGGTCCAGCCAAGCCTGGGAATGTCTCCTAGCTGCTGAACAGGACTTTTCTGTGACCCTGTTAGAGTCCCAAGACTTGCATCAGGTGCTAATTTTTCACTCTGAAGCCAGCACATTTCCAGCTGGTACCTTTTTTGCACAAAGTCATTGGCAGAACTTGTCAGCTCCTTGCATTTTCCTTTCACCTCCAGGAATGAAAAGTGGCACAAGTCATTATCTGTAGGTATTGTGTAGAGAGGTTTAATGCTGGTATAAACTGCTGCTGCCACCGTATTTTGCTGTCTAAATATGCAATACATACCAGAGCCTCCTTTGGGCCAGATGGCCAAAGCATCGCTAGATTCCCCTTTGGCTTGATTTTAATTCAAAAGTGAAACAAAACACTGCAGTGGTATCTGTAGGAATGTGCGTGGTTTCTGTTGGGTGTTTGCTGGTCCTCGTGTCTCCCCACCTCTGGAGAAGGGTCAGCCAGATCTCTCCAGAGCAGCACTTGCTTGCTGGCAAACCTTAGGGAGGAGAGGGTTGCTCAGGTGTGTTGGTGAGGTCCCTGAGCAGAGCTGTGACCTGTGTTTCCCCACTCAGTCCCACTCATGAGGCTGGCTGAAGAGTCGGACTTCGTTGTGGTGACGTGTGCTTTGACTCCGGCCACCCAGGGAATGTGCAACAGGGACTTCTTTGGCAGAATGAAGAAGACCTCTGTGTTCGTCAACACCAGCAGGTAATTGCAACCCAGTCTCCTGCACAGGGGGGTCGACTGTCACCCTGCCGACAGCTGTGGTTGCAGGGGGGGATCTGGTAGGCTGTGAGATGTGCTTCCACTGGGAGTCCAGACAGCATGTACAGCCTTCATGTTCGCCCAGTGCGTGGCCCACTCCCTCCAGCCCAAGGTCTCTTGAGATCAAGTCAAAGGCAGGATAAGTTGTTCAGGGGGCTACAGCCTCTGTCTCCTCGTCAGGGCCCCATGTCCCACCCGGCTGGGATGGACGAACGGATGACTGTTGGGTAACGGGAGGGTGAGGCTGGGGGATTGCCTGGGAGAGCGCTGCGACTGCCAGAAGCCTTGCTCTTGGGACAGAGGCATCCGCAATGGGGCTCCTTGGCCAAGTCCCGTGGTAGCCTCCCATTCCCGCTGCCTTCTTGCGGAGCACTGTGGCAGGGCAGAACCCGTGTGGCCCAACACGCAGCATCCACGCAGCCGCTCAGGATGCCTCGGGCTACCTGCACCTCCCTCCGCGGCTGCTCCAGGGTCGTCCTGTGCTCGGGTACCTGGCTTTTCTCCCTGCTGGTGGGCAGCCTGGAGCAGGAGCAGATCGTTGCGCTGGGAGGTTCGGGTACATCCAGAGAGGGTCTGACCTCCGCTCAGGCAGCCCTGGGGACCTGGGTGCCACCACGCAGGCTGTCCCACGCGGCCCGTGTCCTGGCTGCGTGCCTCCGGGAGCCCACGGGACCCCTCAGCAGCAGCGCGAGCCTTTCTCTCTCTGTGTTTGCCAGGGGGGCCGTGGTGAACCAGGAGGACCTGTACGATGCTCTGGCTCACGGGCAGATCGCAGCAGCGGGGCTGGATGTCACGACGCCGGAGCCGCTGCCCACTGACCACCCTCTGCTCTCCCTCAAGAATTGTGGTAAGTGGCCAGCTGGGTGGTCAAGCCCCTGCTTTGGGTGCCTTGTGTGCCCATGGCTGGGGACCTGCTAGCTGGCATAACAAGGATTCCCCATGCCCGTTAGCCTGCCAGTGCGAACAAGCACTGAAACGTGGAAGGACAGGAAGGTCAAGTGTATTTAAGCAGACTGTAGGTAGCCGCCGTACAATGCAGACAGCTGCTAGAGGGGAAGACCTCATCAACATGATGTAATACAAGTGTGGGAGGTATTTTAGTTCTACAGAAAGCAGTTGAGATCAGCTCATTTTATAACACCTTCCTAATGGAACTCCATTCGATGGGCTGAGGCATGGGGTGAAATTCATGGGGGAGTCTGATACCAGCAAGTGCCTGAATGAGAAACCAAATCCCTGCTCATGCCTTGCCAAGCTCTGGTACTGTCTAAGCTCCTGGGCATATATTCTGCTAGAAAAGCTTCCCATGTGGCTAAAAAGCTGGGTGCTGAGCCTGCCTAGAGGGATCTCAGCCTCGAGAGCGCTGCAACCACTGCAGGACTCGCCAGCTAGCCCATCCACTGTGAGCCTGGGCTGCCAGGCACAGGTTCAGCACGTGTGCTCCGAAGCACAGTTTGTTTAAGTGCTGGCTGTGTCATGACATCCACGTTCCCCAGCAGATGTCAGCAAATTAGACAGCCTCGAGCTGAAGAGGCCACCAAGTGCTCACGCTTTGGGATGAGCAGAGGTTTCTTTGCAGATGGTCTAGCTGCATCTCCTGGACAGCCCAAGGCAACTTTTGCTGGGAAAGTGGAGCTTGGCGAGCTCAGGCAGCCTATTTTCCGGATAGTAGTGGGTATCAGGCAGGTGGGAAGGTGCTGATCCCAGGACTAGTGCATGTCTTCAGAGGAGGAGATTAGGTCAGGTGAGGAAGGTCAGTGAGGAAGGGGTGTGCTCGGCTGCTCTTGTGCTTCAGCATCGCCAGGCTGCTGGAGCGGAGGCAGGAGCGCCTGCAACCAGGGGCAATAGCTGATCACTGTTAGTTTCACCGTTGCTTTCCTGAAAGCTTGCCAAGGGCTGCCGCGTTGGGCTGGATGATGTTTTAGCGCAGGACGTTAGCAGCCCTCGGTGTTTTCTTGGGATCCTTGTTGTTGCAGACTGAAGGGGCTGTGCGGGGGGCTCTTTCCCATGGCCTTGCCACTCACCAGCGCAGCTCAATCCGCACAGGCACCACAGGCTGGCCAGCGGCTTGGGACGGGTTAGGGACAGCTCCTGCTGTGTTCAGTGCCTTTGCTCATGTTGCCTTCAATGCACAAGTTGGCCCGTAAAGCAGGGCCAGGAGCTTTCCTCTCCTCCTCCACACAGGGAGCGTGTGGGTCAGACCAGTAACTGAGCGGGACTGACTTGGACACAAGCCAGACAGGCTCGCTTGTATCCCTCGAGGCAGAAAAGAGACAGAAATGCAACACAGAGAAGGCACTGCTTTCTCATTAGAAAGTAAACCTCTGCGATTGTCTGCGACCCCATCACCGGTGCAATGGTGGGGTGCCTGTTCCTACCGGAATGCTTGGATTTGCCCTGCTGAGAGCTGATGGCACAAGCCGGGCTAGAACAGCTTTTTCTTGCACAGTCAAGTGCCTTGGCTGCTCAAGCTGCACCCCAAGCATGAGATCTGGTGTGTGCATCTTCACTTGCGTGGGCAAAGTACCGGAGTGGCTGTGCAGGCAGCAGCAGTGTGTCCTCTCTCCAGGAAGGAGGTTTTCAGAGTCGGAAAAGTCTGCTCCAAAAAGAAACCATAAAAACATCCATGAAAATTTGGAACTGCCCATGACTGAGTGTCTGTTTCTGAAATACAAGTTCATAGCTGTTGCCTTGCTTATCTTTTTGCTAAAAGCTATTTTTTATTTGCTTCAGTTCCCCTAGTAGGCAGTGAGAAATGATAAAAGCGGACACTCTCTGGGAATACTTGGAGGACTTCAGAGATCTTAGAGCTCTGGAACAACACCAGGCAAGACAAAAATAAATACATACGTATTTATTTTCACAGGAATGAGGCTTTGATGATTCTGAAACTGTTCAGAGATTTCACCCAAAACTGCCAAATAGTTTCAGCAGCTGGAGGTACACGGCATAAGTAGAGGAGGAAGCAGTGCTGACATTAACTTTGACAGCGAACAAGGAACCCAGGCTGGTTCTTGACTGGGGGAGAAAGAAAGGACCTACGTGGCCCCACAGTCCTTCTTGGGAGAGCCTTCTCCTCCCAGGGCAGCAGCATGTTGGATGTTCAGGCTTCTGCATTGCCTGTAGATGCTGTCTGTAACAGAACAGAGACTGCAGTGCAGGCTTTTATCCATACCTTGGGCAAGTGCTCTCCACTACTAATGTTACAATAATTTACCACTAAAGCATCTTTGGCTCCTTCCTTTGCATTGCATATAAGGAGCCTTTTCACATAGGTGGACAAAAATGCCTGCCCTGACTGTGCTACAGTGTGCCAGCTCTGTTCAGCAGGGGCCTTTTCCCTCCACATGTACCTTACCAGTGCACCCAGGGGTCTGTAAAACACGTTGTTTCACAACAGTCTTCAGGTTCTTGCCCTGATATGTGTTGGTTCACGCCTGTCGGTGAGCAGAACCTCCTAAGGCTGTGTGGCAATCAGGCAACAGCGTGCAAATTTCACTACATGTTCGTCTGCCGCAGGGATAGTATTTTACATCTACCACTGGCTCTGGGTCCGTGCAGGAAGGTGAGTACCAAACCTGAGTGCATAAAGGAGGACCCACTCTTGGCCGACTGCCTTTGGCTGGAGGACTTCTTAAAAAATAGCTCAGTTAGCCATTTATCAGATGTCTTTTCCAGTCCTCAGTGGCTGATGATTTGGTTTCATGCTCCGTGTCTGAAGACAGCTCCTGGTAGAGTAGCGGCTGGTGCAGGACCCAGGTTGCCCCCACCACGGGAAGACCCCTGAAAGAGGCTGCAAGAGGTCAGCAAAGGTAAGAAACGAGCAAGCAACCTCCCTCCCTTGTCCCCTGCAGTGATTCTGCCGCACGTCGGGAGCGCCACGTATGCCACGAGGAGCACCATGGCGGTGCTGGCAGCCAACAACCTGCTCGCCGGGCTGCGAGGTGAGCCCATGCCCCACGAGCTGCTGCTGTGACCACCAGAGCCCCTCTCCTGCGGGGCGGCAGGACTCGGCATTACCTTCCCCTGCAGAAGCCCTGTGCCTCCTCGCCTCTGCAGCAGCGTGCCAGCGGTGCCCGTGGCGAGGGAACTGCACCGTAGCCATTAAAGAGAAGCAGTGAACGTGTCGTGCTCGTTTTGTTTGAGGACGGGGTGCCCCCAGGCACATGGCGGAGCGCGCAGTGCTGCGGTGGGGGGCTAACGGGTCCCACGGTCACGTCACCGCAGCACACAGCAGCCGACGGATGGTGTTTGGCCCCAATTCAGGAAACGCTTGCGGTGTCAGAATGTTGTGTATTTTGCTCGCCAGCGTGTGTCGTACTGTAAGGGAGCTGCTGCCGCAGCGCCCGTCCTCAAAACCTGGCTCCTGCGGTCACAGTGAGACCCTGGCAATTCCATACTTGAGCTTCCAGCTCGTAGCCAGGAAGGGAGGAGACGTAATTGCTCGATCAGCATAGGCCCACTGCTGCCAAGGGAGCTGCTGACGGCCCCCTGCCAAGCACGCGTTAAAAAGGTCTTGTTGAATCTGCGCCAAGGCGTGATGTTTCTGTTCTTCAGGTGTCTGAAGAAAAGCAAAAAAAAAAGGCTTGCATGGCTCCCCTGGTGTCTCCAGCTCTGCCTTTTGTAGCTGTAACTAATTCTGTGCATGGTTCTGAAGTGGATTGCAAACTGGAATTCACACTGGGAGGTTCTGCAACCCACCCCCCCCACCTCCACTGGTTCCAGCCTCAACTCCCCACCCCGGTTCATTTTTTTCCCAGACATGCAACGACGTGTTGGTGCAAAGGAAAACTTGAGTGGGTGCCAAGCCTCTAGCTGCCAGGAGAGGCCTGGATGAGCACATTTCAGAGGCTTTGGGGGTTCCGTCTCCTGCAGCGACTGTCCCACTTCTATAAATGGGTGTTGGAGCCCATCTCTCCCTGCCAGTCCCCCCCAGCAAGCTTCTGCTCCAGCTGGTGAAAACATCAGTGAGGTGTGCTCCTTGGATTGCTTGTGCTGCTTGCCATGTCCTGTTTGAGGGCAACGTGCCCCAATGACGTTATTTCCTTGAGGAAAAGAGAAAGGTGGCTGTGACATTGGATTGTAGCAGCAGGAGGAATTTAACACTCTTAAGCTTGTCAGAAATCCTGCTTTTAATGCGTGTGTGTTGAGCGTGATCCCCAAGAACCTTCCTGCTGCAGGGGTGGAAGGGGTCAAGAAGGATGTTTCCCGGTTCTGTAGGGAGCATGCCCATAAGCCGTCTGGGAGCAGCTTGTTCCTCACTTTATTCAGCAGGGGGCTTAGCTGTGGGTTTGCAAAGTTTTCTTCCCAAGAATAAGGAGTGAGTGAGCCCCTTTCCCAGCATTACCCTGCTTCCTCTGGGAGCTTGCTTGAAAGGGGCAGCTTTCCTTGGAGTCCCCTGCAGCTGCAGCAGTCCTTTCCACTCTGCTGCAAGCAAGCCCAGGTCAGGGGTCTGCTGTTCCTCAGATGGGAACCGAGCCCTTTGGCAGCCCTGGGGAGTCTTCTCTGGTTAGGAGCTACAGTCGCAGCTTCACGGTCTAGACCAGCAATTTTTCCATCCCTCTGTGCAGTCGGCACTTGGGGAGCAGTTCTGAAAAGGTCACTACACAGCAAAAGAAAACACCCAACTGGGATTTTCAGAATGAAAGGCAAGGATTGATGTATAGAATTGCTGCATTTTGAAATCGACAGCAACATGTGTTAAACAAGTACACTGATGTTACTTCGCTGGAGTTCTACCAGAGACTTGTCCTGTGCCCAGTCTTGTAGCGACAGCACTGCCACAGCTGGACGCATCTGTGAATTGCAAATTTGTGTTCCCGGTGTGTGAACACATGTATGATGATGAAGCCAGTTCAATTTAACTTCTTTTCATGTTCTACCTCTGTGGGGTGGCGGGGAAGCCTTGGCAAGTGCAGCCTGCTAGGGCTGGTGGGGGGACAAGACAGGGGTCCAGCTGGTCCATCCCTGCCCGGCGATGGCAAGATTGCTTGGGGGAACACGTCAGCCTTGCCATAGTCCCATGTCCTCGTGCCCTCCATGGCACCTAGACCATGAGGCAGATGGGACAGCCCTGTCCGCTGCCTGCAGGATCTGTTCACAGACCTGCCAGTCCTGACCACGCAGTGCCACCTGCCCCATCCAGCCCCGCAGATGCCCCCGCTGCGCGGTGTGGAAAGTGTTCTCACCAGTTTTAAACCAGCCTTCTCCCAGCTCCACGTGCTCCCAGTCCTTGTGCTGGGGAACATCATGAAAAGCAGACCTGAACTTAGGTTCCTTGTGAGCTGTGGCTCTTGAGCAGCCATCGTCTCCCAGCCTCATCACTATTTTCCCCAGGTTTTGTCATTCAGAGCAACATACGAAACAAGGTTCTGCCTTGTTTCCAAGGCTGTGGGAGGTGTGGAGAGGGGGAAGTAGTGAACATTTTGGTTCACTTGACCCCAGGGGAATCCATCCCAGAGACACAGAACACCACACGCCTGGTGCATTTGGCCAGTTGCTGAGCAGTGACGAGGTCTGCCAGCAGCGCAGCCCCTGCACCAGCCACTTGGCTGCTACCGAGTCACCTCCATCCCATGTTTCCTCCAACGCAGAGACTGGAGCAGCTCTGTTGGCCTCACAGGCACAAGAACCCACCATCTCCTCCACAGCACAACACATAAACATAACCCAGGAGCTTCTGGCTTTGGAGGAGCCAGGGATGAAGCATAATTAGAGATGGTGCCTTGCAGCTTGAAGCAAGGTTGAAAAGCTGTCCTCATCCCAGGGTGAATCACTGGGATTTCTGCTGGGTGCAAGGGGTGGGTGGGCATGGGCACCCTGCTTCCAGCCATGCCGGCTTGAGCTCCTGACCAGTGCCCTCCCTCATCCACCTCCTTCAACTGGCGCCTGCCAGAGCCTGGTACCCTCCAAGTGTGTTCTTTTAGATACTCTGCACAAACAGGATTTGGTGCTTAATACCAAATTTACTTCTCTGTAGGCATTTGATGTTACATTGGATTTTGATTTAGCAGAGCGATATAGCAATGTACTGAAATTGCAGTACGAGCACAGTACTGCAGTTGTGATATATGGTGGGATTGCAATAGAAACGTGATGCCCATCACCAGTCTCCAGATGCTCAATTGCCACCATGCTGGGTGTCCTCAGCCGCCGAGAGGGAGCACGTGGGCTGGAGCCAGCTCAAGCCCGTTGCTCTCTTCAATGCTCTTTTTTTTGCTGTCATTCAGTGCTTGCACTCTACGTTGGGCTGAGCCAGGTGAACCTCCCTGTGGTGGCCAGGCTCACGCAGGAGGACACCTGAGCTCCTTCGGTGATGTCCAGGGTGAACAGTGGCACAAGCGGCTGATCCACCCAGCTGAGAGGCGAGTTTGTACAAGGGCCCCTGTCCCTTGGCATCGAGATCAGCTCAGCTCCCTCCGCGCTGTTGGCGTTTGCCTTGGCCCTGGCAGCAGGGGTGGCTGGGTCTGTGCAAGGGTGGGCTTAGCATGCCCCCGTCCACAGCACCAATGTGGTGCTGCAGCTGGGCAAATGCCCCCGGGCTAAACAAACGATGGACCTGCTTCCACCTCGGGGCTGAGGTTTACCCAGTCTCGGCAAATGCCTTTGGCAGCAAGATGGGGCGAAGCTCCCCCTGCCCAGCAGCCCAGCCGGCGGACCCTGGCCCTGCCTCACCCTGAGCCATCCCCACAGTGTCTGTCCTGGGGCAGCTCTGAGGAGCAGATGCCCTTAACGGTGCAACGTTGGCCTCGAAACCCAGACAAGTCTCCGCATCCAGCCAAGAGGGACGGACCAGGGACAAGGTCTGAGCACCAGAGGCAGCCCTCTACCTCCCTGTTGGCCAGCTGCCTGCTTCTTAAAGAAACTGAAGATGGTGCCAGACGCTATGGGTGGCCTGGGACCTTCAGCCGGTACAAATCCTGCGCCTGCATCATCCGGCACCTCCCTGCTATGGCTCTGCCTGGGTACACCGCCTGCCTGTCCAGCATCCCTGCACCCAGGAAGGAAAAAGCCTTCCTCGTGTGGCCCAAAAGGCTTCCACCACACTTCAGGTCTCAGTGACAGCCGCTCGTGCCCATAGAAATGACGCTGAAAAAGAGAGGAGAAATAACACAAAGCGTCAGCTGCTCGATGGATGCGAAACTAGTGCCCTTCTGAAACGACGATGTAAGCGGAGCAGGAGGGGGCTGCAACAGGCAAGAGGAAAGTGTCTCATTTCCAGCTCAGGAGCTTGCTGGCGGTGCTCCCAACAGCCTCCCTCCGCCAAGCTCCATGTAGGGGGTCTCAGCGTCCATGGGCCAGGAGGAGCTTTCTCCATATTTCCTCCTGCAGGGAGGCCACAGCCCAGCCAGACCCATCTTGGAAGGCAACCAGTGCCCAGCACAGCTTCACCGCTCTCCTCCCAGCGAGCTGGGCACAAGCGGAGCAGCGTGCATCAGGCAGCCGCATTGCGAGAGGTGGCCGAGCCTGGAGGCGGTGAACGCTGTGCTGCAGCCGGACGGACGGATGGACAGAGAACAGCCTCTGGAGGAAAGCCCAGGACAGCAATCAGCCATAACGTGCCTGAACTGCTCAATTCACCTTTCATTATTGTACAGCACAGGAAGGTTTCTGGCAAGAGTAAAAGAAAGTGTACGAGTCCGCACTTCCGAGAGCAGCCATGTACTGTTTTCTCCAACTCTCACCCTGTATAAAAGCTGAGCAGGTTGCTGCATAATAATCCAACACATTTCTTAAGAGATGAGAGGGGACTGCAGCAGTTGGCGTCATCGTAAGCCTGGTGCAGGGGGGAGCTGAAATACACAGAGAAAAGCCTGTGCTTGGGAATTAAAGTTCATCCAGTACGCTCTGTACTTCTCTTTCTGTCCCATGGCAAGTGTTCTTCATGCTGAATTCTCTGCTTGAATTTCTTTTGATGTTAAATGAACCATACTCTGATAGCAATAATAGCTATTGGAAGATGTTCACTAATTAGTTATTGATGCTGGCTAGTTAAAGGAAGACCTTTGCTTCATGCCTCAGAGAGTATCTATCTGACATGTTTATCAATACGTTTTGATTCACAAGCCTTGCTGATTACTGTATGCCTGCCCATCAGAAGCAGAAAGTGTTTGGGAAGCTTCTAATGAGACCTCTGCTGACCAAGGAAAGGTTTGTAGCTGTGGTGGTAGATAGGAAGGGAGCATGCTCTCGAGTATCCCAACTGGCTGGAAAGTTTCCAATTGACATAACAGAAATCACAAGGATTTACTTGGATGTGAAAACCTTGGCTGTATTACATGGGTGCAAGTCCATCAGGTTAGTTTGCTGGTCTGTATGATTTTTGAGTTTTGACACTGAAGATTCTGGTATTAGTGAAGTTCTGTAATGCTGAAGGATGTTAATTAAATATGTGAGAGGTTATTGTGACCCCTAATGATGTGAGAAATAGTTAAGTGTAAACGAACTGGTATCTGAGCGCTTGTATTAGAATCCTCGAGTATATTAAGAAACAGACATGAGCTTGTAAATAAGGCTGCCAGAGTGACCGAAGCACATTTCAGGTGCCGCATCTTGGAATTTCTTCAAGAAGAGTATCTTCTGCAGCTGTCAATCATTTTGCTCTGCCAGCCACAGAAATCATCAGTATGCCCTTACTGAAAAGATTGTGCTTTCTAAAAATATGTAAAAACCCCTTAAATGATAAAATATTAACCTCCTCTCTCTGCCTCTGCTTAATGGAACCTGTAATTTTTTTAGGCAAGTCTGAGTGTGGCTGGTCAGAGCTGAACCTACTGACACCAAAGCACAGGTAAGCCTTGCTGGCCCTCCGTCCAAGGGCAGACACCTCTTAACAGGATTTCTTGCTTGGTAATTTCTGGACATACTCATACCAACAATCACTAGTCACAACTTTGTGCCACCAACAGCTAAATAGCTAGCCAGTGAGTGTGGTGAGCTACAGCAGCTCCCAGGGCAGAGTAGCTGTGCTGGCCTCCAGATCATTGTGTCAATGTCTTCCCACAAGGAATTCAGAGAGCAACAAAGACAAGAGATTATGGGGTTTACAGACGTTGCATAGATATTAACATTATTCCAGTAATAACCATAATGATAAGTTCTTACAAGAGTGTATTCTACCAGGAAAATTGTTACTGAGTCAAGTACAGGCTTTTACAATTTAGTTTTTGCTAAGAACAAGTATTTCTTTACATAGAGAGTAATAATCACTTTACAGGTGCCTTTCAAGTGGCCTGTTTTGGTTATATTTGGCTGATGGTGCTGATGCAAACAAGGACACTCACCCTTGCCCTGCTGTGGGGGAAGCAGCATTTCACACCAGCAGAGCAATTTCTTCATTCACCGCGTATTCTCATCAGGAAGAAGAGCCCAGAGCACAGCCGGTAAGAGGTGCAGGAGCGCAGTCCCTCTGGACCGGCGGCTGGTGGCTGTGGAGCCAAGTGTCATGCTTGTTCTTTTCAGCTGCTTGCAAGGGTCAGCCCCCATCACATAAACACGTAAGCAGTAAAGCTGGTGTAACTGCTACAGAAGTGAGAGTAGTCACTGCAGCAGTTCAGCACTCCGAAGTACCTACTGATGTTTAAAGAACCATTGCCAGGGACAGAGACAACGTGTCTGTAGAGACAACGGACAGAGGACAGAGCACACAGCCCAGCCTCTGTGCAAGTTTTCCAACAGCAAACTTTGCCACAGGCTTTCCAAGACTATTTTCTCTGACAGAACAGCAAGCCTTCAAAAGTGGTTCCATAGCGTAAGTGAACATAAGGCTTCAGCTAAGCATGCGCTCCTACAAACATATAGTTTCACAGATGTAGTATTGATGTATGGCTTCTACCAACTGACATCCTGCATTAGTTCAGAGTCAATCCTTTTGACAGGAAGCTCCAGACTGAACTGATTTTCATATATTATTAAGAAAAATTAAGAGCGCGCAATATAATATTACAGACTGCTGATTTTATGCCTTTTCAAAATCTATTTAATGACTCTGATGTCTGTTCAAGACATGACTTATGCTATCATGTCATGCAATTTAGTCTTGTCAGCACTAATACATTTTATTAAGCATCACCAAACCAGCCTTTGTTAGCTGCCTTGTGCTGCAGACCTGAAGGACACTGATGGGCATTCAGATGATGTTAGAAAAATAATCGTGCCATTACCCAGCCACTTATCCTTGCTCCCTTGCCAGCACAAGCACCTGCGCAGTCACAAAGTGAACTCATTGGGGAACTGATACAGCTGAAAAGAATGTCAATAATTTCCATGCACAAGTGGGGATGCTCCCAGAATCCCAAGCATTCGTCTGAGGGAGATGCAGGCAACGCGCCCCTTCCCATCAAGGCTGCGGCAGGAGCGAGAATCCCTGCAAGTAGGTCAGCCACCCACAGGGCATCTCAAATGATCTGCATGAAACATCTTTAGCATCACCTCCAGAGCAGAGAGCTAGCCAGAAGACAGCCCACCACACTGAGGCAGCAGCTCCCCGAGACACTAAACCACCCCAAGCCTGATCAAAGTCACTACGGCGAAGTCCAGCTGGACTCTGCTGGTTCAGACTAGCTCACGAGAAGTTGATGGGACAACGCAGTCCTTCAAGACTTTATACTGGCTAAAACACGGACCCACTTCTTGTTGATTAGATACTACATGTCTTCTCAAAATTGGCAAAGCCTCAGCATGAAGCAGGAGGCCGGCCATGGGCAGCACTACATGCTTGGCCTCATTTGGCAAAAATGTGTGTGCCTACATTTCAATAGGATTATTTTGCACTGCCAAATGATGTAGTAACACAAAGACCCCAGTCGGCTAACACACAAGCATTACTTGTTTAGTCAATCCATTATATGCTCTTGGCAAAGACACCAGGATAACATAAACAAGTAAATCAAGTCAGACACAGCAGCACAAAAATGTAGGGTTTATTTTCAGATGTTTCATAATACTAACACACTGACATCTTCACATAAGATCTCACTGTAGCATTTGTGAAGTTAAATTTTGAACAAAAGTCAGGGTGACAAGTTTTTTGACAATGTTACCAGGCTTTGAGATGAGATACTCTCATTTTACAGTAGGGGATAGCTAAGCGGATATACAATTCTGAGATATTGCTTCATACTGGAAGACTAGGAAAGCAACAAGCTGACCACAGGCTCCTGTGTTTGCAGTATGCTCCTCCAGGTGCACCAGATGCCAATGATAATTAAATTTAAATTTACTACTTCCAAAAATGCTCCAAGTTTATTTTTTTCTTAAAGAAAGAAGACAGAAGTCCTCCTGCACAAGGATTGATATGTCACAATGACATTAAAGTTTTTATAAAAACAGATCAAAAGTACAGTTAAATATGTTTATCTGCTCATATTAGTTCTTAATTACTCTGATCTCCTTACTCACATAGATGCTTTATTCCTATGCGTCATAAGAATTCAAGGAATTCAGATGTGCTATAGGAAACAGATGGAAAATGTAAAAAAACCCTATTTTAAAAATACTAGAAATGCAAAGAAGATGAAACAACCAGGACGTTACTAATAAGGCAACACAAGAAAATATTAAAGTACAAAATACTGCATTTTATTGATGTTTCAGTGAGATTGTTTAGTATATAGCTCAATGCTGTTAGTCCCCTGATATCAAAATTATTATCAAACAAAAATGGCATATCCTACTGCTTTAAAAAATGCAGCATATTTCCTTAATGCTTATAAAATCAAGAGCCGGAAATATGATCATTAAATAAATCCTATAACAAAATCTTAACATTTTAAAGGAATTAATCCAATCATTCACTACGTTTCCACATTCCTGTTTACCTTGGATACTCAAGGTGCAAATGACACGTTGACAGACATTTGGTTTTTTTTTTTTTTTTTTTCCAATGTGAAGCAGTGTAATTAGAGATGAAGACATGTTTCTTCATTAGCGGACTACTGTTTCACATAAAGCAAAGTACAGAAAGATCTCCATGTTTCCTTTGGTCTGACAATGACTGTTTGGTTTCTGTGCTTCAACAGTTTTGATAGTTCATCCTGCTAAATGACCTACAGATCTGTGGATTAGTATTTTAATTTTCAGTTTATCAGAATATAAGTCCAAGATGTTTAAGAAGGCTAACTATTCGGTAGCACAAACTCTGTTAAAACTTCTGAATATCATCACATAGGATACATTTGCTATACAGAATAAAATAAGAGGGGAAGGTTTGCAAATTTTTTTTATATTAACGGAAAACTGTTGCTCTGTGACTCAGCAGGAAATGCAAATCCTCTGTCTCTCCCGAGCAGAATGGACATGCTGTAGCTCTGACCCAGTTCCTACATGGCAGAGCAACATTTATTAGAAGTGCTCCAAAATTTTATTTAGAAACCTAATATGCTGAACACCAGTAGTTAGTTCATGTGCATCTTTAACAAAGAAAAAGAGACTGCAGACAGTCTTAGTTACAATGGTATCAAAGAAAAGGAAATTAAAACAAGATTTACATGATTCACTTCAAGAATAACGATCACTGACTTTCTGCTACACAAAGTGTACAGTGCTATTTTTAAAAATTAAATTTATGCTAGATTTTTTTAAATTTATGTGGAGAAGTACATTTATGACACTACTTTAAGTGGAAGGACTGGATTTGACAACTACATTTTATAGAGAGACATAAATAAATATGGCAAATGAGGATCACTCCTGGCTGGTTTGATCTGAGGAACAATCCATAGTTGTGAAGGAAATTAAGTAAGTGTACAGAGGAGGAAATTAAAGACTGAAGATAAGAGTGTCAGAAAAGGACAATATGCTTATGCAACAATGGGGATCAGATTGACTATCAGCATCTGGAAACAGCAAGAGACTACCTTATGCAGTAAAAAAAGCCATCACAAATTCTCTCTCTCTTTCAAAAAACCAAAGCAGACAAAGACAAGCTCTTTTCAGACTTCTGTGTATATAGAATTTCAACGTAGGAGATACAAATTGGTTAAAATACTGCTAAGAATAGCACGAACAAGAAACAGTACTTCACTTATCACTTAATACAAGTTTCTACAGAAAAAAAATCAGTCAAACATCCAGATCTTGCTGTATTCAAAGTATATATACATCTGGCAGTCCAAAAGTTACTTGTCTTGGATTTAATTTAAGCACCTTCATCACACAGTGTCCTTTACTACAAAACAGCCAAACATACATTCATAACCCTAAAACTATTTTTATAATTAGCATGTTTTAAACTATTATGTCAGACAGGTGCACCCAAAGTTGTTTTTCTCTTTCAAAGATATGCAGTCTGTGTTAGTTACAGTAAACAGCTCTTGCATTACTGTCCATACATAATGCAGCAACTTGTTTTACAGGTCATTTATTTAAATGCTTTCACTTTTACAAAATACTTTAGAAAAAAAAAAAGAGGAAATTTGCACTTCAGTTTCCCATTTTTGAAACGTGCTACTTCATGAGCTAACTACGCTCTCACCCCTCTGCCCTGCAAAGGAACTGCTTAGTTTTAGGGATTGTATCCCCGTCAGCCCAAGGCCTGAACGTACATCATAGTAACACTTCACACAGCTACAGTGCGACTTCTGAGGATCTCCAACTTCGCTTACAGCTGTTTAAGCCTCACAACACCCCTGTGAGGTAGGTACAGTAATATCCCCAATTGACAGAACCAAGACTTTTGTGTGTGTGGCACCATCACACGTAAGTGTTCGCTGACCAACAAGAGCAGCCTCTGAGCCTGCAGCCTTGAAGAAAATAGTGTTCATGTTCCTGTGGTGCTTCAGGGAGCTAGACATCTGCACTGGCATTCTCCTTCAGGCCCCGGCTGGAGAAGGTTAAAGCAAAGTGCTAGGCAGATTGCTGCTCTGCCACCTCAGGCAGGTTGTCTTGGAGTGTTTATACAGGTGGCTGGACTGGCTGAACCGCTTGCCACACTTCAGGCAGGCGTAAGGCTTTTCTCCCGTGTGGACACGGATGTGTTTCTTGCAGTCTGTCAAGGTCAAAAATGTCTTGCAGCAGATCTTGCAGGCATACTTGCGTGCGCCTTCTACAACCAAGACGTTGTGCTCAGATAAGGCCTTCTTGCATTTTGAAAGGACATCTGCAGATGCCCTTGTCAGCTGTGGCGGACCAGGTTGCGATGGATGCCCGTTTTCAAAAGAAGTGGTCCCGTTCATGATCAGCTGGGAACTGGATGAGTTATCTTGCAGCTGGGAGCTCCTGACAGAGGTCACCACAGGCATTTTGGGGGCTATGCGGCGGTAGCCAGGAAAGCTGCTAGCTCCACCTCTTACTGAGCTCATCATTGCCCTTGACAGGGAGTGCAAGCCCAAGCCCGACCGTGGAAAATCCATGCCAAACTGTTCTGCTGCCCGATACCCAGAAGTCTGTACGCAGGGGAGACCCATCACGTCCTGCATTGGTCTAACAAAATGAGAATCTGCAGGCTCACTAAATGGATTCTCAACATGAGAGACGGTGGCAGATGAATGGCCACCAGCAGGCCCCGACTCTGGACTCATGAGATAAGAAGCATCACTGTCCATCCTGCAGTCACTGGTGGTATTTGGAATGTTGTCATCACTGTTTTGACTAGCACCGAAACCACCACCTCTGCTTTTATTTAGAAAATTTGAGATACTGAAAGTAGATTTGTGTTCCAGGTTATTTGACACCTCCATAATATGGATGTCTCCCACCCTATCAGTGCTGGACTGTGGGTCAGAAAAGCTACGATCACTGCTCTCGGGACTCAGTTCTATCTTCTCTGCACTCACTACTCCTCCTTCCACTTCAACAGACTCGCTGCCCTCCGCTTGGGAAGTGACATCGCTCACCTCGTCTTGAGGCTCTGGAGAACTCAAGGGTTCAGACTTCACCACCACCCTCATGTGCTCTTTTTCATTCAGACTGACCTCTGGATTCTCACATGGGAAGTTGTTCTTCTCAGAAGCAGCATCCTGGTCAAAGCTGGTTTCCACCTGCGTTGCCTGTGATGCCATGGACATTTGTGAAATGTTTCCTCCGCTGTTGTCAGACTGGCTGGGCACTTGAGCATCTTCCTGAGCACTGAAAGACTGATCAAACATAATAGTATTATCCTCCTGGTTATCAGCAACAGCATCGGCCTTAGAGTTGTCCACAATCTTCAGTGAATCTGGCGAGAAGAAATCTTCCCGTGAATGAACTACTGACTGCCCGCTCTCTGCAGCCACATCAGAAACAGACTCATCCATGGTAGGCCTGATGCGCTGTCTGGCCCGATCTTCAGAAGACTGTTTACGTTTGTGGAGACGACGGATAGGAAAAGTAGTGCGCTGCTCAATGTTACTTCTCATCGAGGAGCTCATAGTATTTGGTTGTTCCTCTGTGTTCTGAGTGGAATTTAAGGCAGAGCTCACGATGCTCAGTCCAAGCTGCTGGAGCATGAAAGACCTCTGCATGCGTGCATTTTGCTCTTGAACTCTATCACTCGGTGGAGACATCGGCAGCGTCCTGGTAGTAAGGTAGTGTTTGCAGGCTTTAACAACAGAGTTCAAATGCAAGTGAGAAGCAGCCAGCAAGACATCCATAACATTGCTCTCCCCAAGCATTAGTGTGGAAGTATACATCATGTCTATCAGAGCAGCAAAAGCTTCTGCTGTCACCACTTCACTGTCCAGCTGAATCATATTCATAGTCTGATCTCCTTCCGCTACAGTAAATAGAGCTCGGAAATGTGTGCTACATGCTGCCAAAACAGAGCGATGGGCTTTGAAATGCCTGTTTCCCACCACAATGACACAGTCACAAAGCTGGCCATGAAGCCTCTGGTAGTTGAGCTGCTGAAAGATTTGCTCAAAGTGTCCTGGAAAATCCATGATCCTACAAAACAAAACAGAAGAAACTATAATATTAAAAATGGCTGAAGTCCTGGTCAGACCAAAGCAAAACCAGGTCTAAAAATGAAAGATGACAGATGAACAATAACTGATCTTAATCTACCACTGCCACATTGGTACTGTATCAAAGCTGGCAATCTTGCAGAGCAGGATGTGGAAGAAAATACAGGTTCTGCCATGGAGCTGACCTAGTGTAACAGCCACCTCAGCATCAGATGTGTCACAGGCAGCTCTGCTGCAAACTGAATAACGCAGGTCATTTCACCTCTGTTAGCTCCTGTCCAAACTCAAACACACTCTTTAGTAGAACATTTAATCCTGGTTTTTAAAAAAATCTAACTGTGAATAATCTACTGCAACCTTTGATAAATTGCTCACGTTACTAGATAACCTCCCACTGAAAAGTCTGAACTTTAATTCTCATCTCATTTAATCCAGCTTCACCTTCTGCAAATGACTTTCTGCACAGTTTCTGAGCTACTGTGCAGAACTGTCATTCGAGTATCTGCTTTCAACATAGAAACACAGAAAAGAGTTAATGGAAAAGAAGGGAGACGCTTCTGCACTGGAACAAGTGGTCAGCTCTTGTCTCAAGCTGCCACCTTTAGCTATCAGAATTGCAATACAGTTTTCTTATTCACTATAGTTTATCAGCTGGGATGTACTGAAAGTCTTCTGTTTTTTGCACAAAATAAATAAAATGGTAGTAAGATAGAAAAGTTTGCCAACTATAAGAGCCATCTCTCTGCTTGCTATTCCTTATAAACCTTCTTGGTCCATAAGGAAGTTATAGGAAGCTTTTGACAAAATGGTGCACTACTCAACAAGACAACTAGACAAACTCAGGGGTGTTTTCTTCTTAAATTTTCATTAACATAATCTAAGTAAAATCTTAGTAGACTCACCTAAAGACTAAATAGGTGACTTTTGGTGATATATCTATTTTTTCTCATGACAAATCAAAAAGTATAAGATTTGGGGAACAGAAAGATTGCATGTATAGGACATACACACACATTTTTGTGTTCACGTTTATTTTTCAATAGCAGTACCACAGTATCATGTGACGCATGAAGACTGTAAAGCAGCTAAAATAAAAGGTCACACAGAAAGAATTATACTTTTGAAGAGGGATCAAATATGAGTCTGCCGATTTAGAAATTCTGTCCTCAAATGCACAAACATTGTGAGCAAACCATATGCTGCATTTTGCATATGTGCACAGTCACAAGCTATATGAGTAAGTTGCATACAAAGCTTCCCATAGTCACGTTTGACCAGTAAAGTTTGCTCAGAAATAACGTTTGTATTTCAAACTCTTCGCAGGTGTCTCACTTTATGCAATGACTTTGCTCAGAAGGTATGCTCAGGCCAGACACAGCAGCTGCCAAGAATACCCATTCATTCAGAGGAAAATGGGTACAGCTGTTGATGTAGATTGTTAATTGCTTTGGAATGTTGTTCACCTGGATGGACAGAGATTAACTATTTACTTGGAAGGATCGGCAGAAAAAGCAAAACCTCACATATGCAAAGAGCAACTCCTGAGATCGCAGGCATGGAGGAACAGTGGCACGTGGCCACAAAAGCTCCCTCAGCCTGCAGCAGCTCAGAGCTCTGTGCTCTCCTTTGCTGCAAGGCAGGAGGCAGTAAGGGAGGCAGGGCAGACTGGGGACTACCATCTTCAAGACACACACTGCTGTAAAACCATGCTGGTAAAGGTCAAAAAGCCAAACAATACACAGAAGATCACTGATGGATTTACACACTTACACATACGTAGTAAGCAGGCAGCTGTAGAATTATAAAGATCTGTGGGCTTCCGGCAGCGGCTCAGCTTAAACTAGGAAAGTACATCTGCAATGTTCCCCAGTCTTGGATTATCACCATTAACATGTCAAGGGAAAGTGGAAGGGTTCTCGATTCTCTTTTATAAAGAATACACTTCTTTTGAATTAGTTCAGGAGCCATTCGGCAAGCAGCATAAGATTAGGTTTCTCATTAGGAAATGAAGTTAACACATGCTCTGTGTGCCCTCGCTCCCTGCGCAATAACCCTGCTTGCTCCCACTCCGCACCCCATCAGACCAAATCCCCCCAGATCCCAGAGGAAGCTCAGGCTGGGCCTGGGGCTGAGCGAGGTTTCCCAGTCGTAGCATCCACTGGCAGAGCAGAACAAGCACGAGCTGAACACATGGTGGGTTCTCCATCCAGCGAGGGCACAAACCTACGCCTGCCTTTTCTATGAGGCCCACAGCTATAAACCACGTTGGACTTAAAATAGTAGTCTCATCAGTCAAACTTGCCAGTGTCTCCAATAGTTACAGAAGGGATGGGCAGAGTAATTGTGTTCTATAACACAATTATTCTTGTCATTAAATAACAAAGTTCTGCATTGTCAGGGAGACTACAGACAGCTACAGGGTAGGGAGGCCCTAGATGCAGATGCTCTCAGTTTTTAGCCTGTTTTGAGGCTACTATGGACACTACTGTGTGATGAACAGCTACCGTTTTCTGATTCCCAGGCTTATGAAATCCCTTAGGGGCAACCTGGACAAACAAATGGACCTGCTCAAATCTGCGGCTTTTGCTGCACTTGGACTAACATCGGGCGACATAAAAGAAAAGGAATTGGTAGTACAGTAGGCAAAGAGATCCAAATTCATGCCAGAAGAGGTGGCAAACTAACATAAAAGCACAAAGACTAAAACCATTAGGTCACAAAAAAAATCTCAGTAAACAGCCCCTGCCTGCCTCAGCTGCCAGGCTGGAGCTAATCTAAGAGCAGCTGCTATTCTCCAGCCAAGAGGCAGCTGGCATTCACCCACCTCCTCCTTCTCTAAGGCACATGACATACACTTTGCAGGTCTTTGCTGGAGGAAGATTTTACCACCTAGTCCGTGGACAAAGAACCTTGCCCCTCTCCAAAGGATACAGGCTGGCAAAGAACCACAGTTTTACCTAAATGCTGAAAAGCCAAAAATTCTGCTGGCAAAAATCTGTGGCCTCCAACCATAATTGGTTCCTGCGTATTTTAAAAAAAAAGAAATAAACAAATTACACTTCATGCCTTCCAGCAATGGTCCAGGCTTATTGGCAGCATTCAAAAATCCCCTAATTTGGCAGCACTAAGGCTACAATTCCTGAATGCCTGAAATAAGCACCGTAATGAGATTTGAGTACTGTGTCACAGTCCTCCTTATCTCCATAAATGAAGTTATGTAATAAAACAGAAGAATTTGATTTTGACCCTTTTTAAAATAAGTAATAGAAATACAGATGATAGGTGATTTTATTTATCTTTCACTAAGAATGTCTATTTTACAGTAAAAATAAGATGACATTTTCAAACAAAAAAAATGTTAAACAAGACAAACTTTGGAATTGCACAGTTTTTATTTCTACACATTTTCTCCAAGAGAAGTATAACACAAGGAGAAGTGAGGAGATGCTTCCTGGTGGTTGTAGGAGGAGGGAGGAACAAAGGAGCGGACCCTGAAACTCACTGACCTCAGGCAGCGGGACAAAAGGAAGACGGGGAGCCTGTGACAAGAGCCACAAGTCCCAGCAAGAAGTGTCTGGAATGTGGCAAAGGCCAAGGCTGCTTTGTGAGCAGTGCTGCTACATCGCTGTCTTGCCTTTTCTGCTCAGGCACACCTGGTTAAACTTATGTCCTGCTTTGTCCCAGAAAGCACCGTGCAGGGACAATCTCCTCTGTAAGGTAAGTTCCTCTCCAGCTAGGCATCTCTGGGAAGTTGAGAGGGGATTGCCAAACAATTCTTCATTTATCTTCTTTTGCTCGCCTCTGAGATGGGCCAAGTGTTACACCAGAGTTAATGCTCTATCCTTAGCTTCACGGGACTAAAACACAGGATCTAGGGGGCATTTGGAGAGAGGGGGAGGAGATGGGGGCAGGGGGGCAACAGTTGCCAGAGCAACAAAGAAACCCTCGCTCCATTTAGAGTAGCATCACTATAGCATCAGTGTGCTCTTGGGGGGCCTAGATGTTTGCCGACTTTCTCTTCACTTTACTCCCCAGTCAAGAGTGACAGCTCCAAGGAACCATTTCACAGTTCTACAGCTATATGCAGGGTTAATCTGCACAGTATAAAACACTACAGCCCACTGGCAGACACCCTGGAAAATGCCAGGCACCTACCACACCAGGAGAGGCAAGGGATCTCCTTTCCCTGAGGACCAGAACTAGACGACACCTTGGTATTAACTACAGTGACTTTCCAAAACGCAGCAGTGCTGAACCATTAGTACCACCACCTACAGCTAAGATGGGAGCACTTTGTTGTGCCCCACCTGCAACCAAGAACAAAATTGTTCCACTTGTACCTTTTTTGCAGAAAGCACAGAGACTGCTCCAGCTTCAAGGGTTGTCAGAAGCAAGCTGTTCACAAGCACCCCAACAGTTCCCAGTCTGTGCACTGCTTTAGGTCATTTTAGGAAACACACTGTAGAAGATAAAAAATACTTGAGAGCTCATGCATTGCCTTTATCAAGCCAATCCCAGCAGGTGGTGTGCTTCAGCAGGGTATGTAATAACGCATTCGAGCCAATGCCCAGAGAAGACTGGAGGTGGAAAACACCAAACAACATGAGGACAGGGTCTCACATCAGTAAAAAGATTGAGCTGGACTCCAGAAAGGAAGATGGGTTACAGCTATGGTCCAAGGTATTTCTGCCCAGGCAGTAATATGTATTTGAACCACAGAAAACAGGCAAGAGTCATTGTTTTGAGCAATGATTTGGGATTTCAGAATTCAGAGAGAGTCCTTGCTTACAGTCACCAAAAGTGATTGCATCCTTCATGCACCTCGAACAAGACAAACCCCAGTTTTGCTTCAAGTAACATTAATTTGGCTTGGTATTTAACTTTTACTACACCGTAAGGGCTAAAGTCCTTGAACCAGAATGAACAAATACAGACCCCACAGTGAAGCTGAGATCTCATACAAGATCAACTGAAAATTATAAAACTCGATTTCAGTTGTATATACTGCATACTACCCACATACCACATTCGTTGACGTATCAGCTACTTCAGGTTACTAAATACATGCAATGCATCTAAGTCGATACCAAAATATATGAGTGGTGTATTTCTGGATACACACATTCAGTCTGTCTTCCCCTCCTGCTTCAGTGATACCTCACCTTTCAGCAACAGCTGGCCATAAGGACTCCCCTGAACCACCCGTGGGCTGCACATCCCCATCATTCCCCTACCAAATGACCCAACATCTCCAGCATCTGATGGGTGGCATCCCATCACATGGTGTGTGAATGCCTATTTGGATGATGGACAGTGATGCTCCCAACTGAATAGCGAGTGGTTTCAGTAGCCAGTCTCTGCAGCCTTCAGGAGGCTCACAGCCAGCTTCAGTTCACATCCTGGGGACCCAGGGAATGTTAGATGAAATCTTCCGCTGAATCAGAATCAGTCAGTGGGACATCAGTGGTACAAACAGCAGACATTGAGTCCAGCAGCCTTTTGGAGAGCAGCAGGAAAGATAACAGCTTAGCTTTATAATCAAACAAATGACCACAAATGAAAAGAAACTATACCAAATTGTTTAGCTACAAGTAGTTTTACTATAAATACAAATAGTCAGAGCCAGGAAAATTCTAAGGGCAAGCAATGAAAAACTATCTACGAAATCCTGACTGGAAAACAACTGTTCTACATGTCCCTGGACCAAGGCCTATGAAATGAAACCAGCAGGGTCAGAATCAAAGAAACACTCCTTCACATAACGCAGTAAAGCTATAGAACTCCCTGCCGTGGGCAAGTACACAGGAATTCAACAGCCATTACATAGATTCATCAAAAAAACACAACAATTGAGAGCTATTAAATATTCAGATGCCACCTCTATCTGGGGAAGGCATTAAACCACAGGTCACTGGAGGTGTACTTTTATATGCACTTACCTCTCTGACTTTCAATTTTACAGCTTTCTTTGGTATTTTCAGAAGACTTTTAGGAGAACTATGGATTTTTTAAATGTAAGATTGATTTAGTAGAAATTAATAAGGAAGCATTTTCTCCCTAGCATTTTGATTACACACTTAAAAAGATAATTAACCTTTGAATAGAAAGTGTGCTCAGTAGATATTTAAATACTTAACCTGCCTCTTCACTGCTAGAGGAAAACATACCAGTGCAGATCCAACAGCCCAAGAGAGGCAATGCTGCTCCTGCTAAACATCCCCATGTCCCAGCAGGAGAGTGGGAGATGTATTCGCAGCAGGCACCAGTGCACAGAGCACACATATATGCAATGACACTCAGCACTCACACAAACACAGGTAGCACCAGAGGCCTCATCCTGCTCCCCTCTCTGGACGGGCAAGATGGAAGTCCACCAGCAAGAACAGGCGTACAGGCGTACAAGGCGGACCCCTCCAGCAGCTGGCTCTCCCAGTATGTCCCCTGGGTCCCAGTCTCCCCATCCCCAGTCTGCAGACCTACAAGTCCCTGAGGCCACAGCCTGGCTCCAGTTGCTAGTACAGACTGTCACAGGTACACGGAGCCAACTGGGACTCCCCTGGTCCCACATCTGACCCTGCCATGTTCTTGCCCCTATAGACACAGGCACTCTCACACCAGAGCTGCCCTTAAGGACCCACAGATCTCCTTGCTCCCAGGTCACTTCACCAGCTCATGCAGTTGATCTTCGCTCACCCGGGCTTGCTCCAATGTGCCCCGTGGCTGCACTCACACCAACCAGAGAGCCCTCACCCAGGACAGAGCCGAAATGGAATTAAATAAGGAGCAGGACACACAGCGCTGATCAGGTGCAGGGCATGGCCAGGCAAGCGCAGTGACCAGCCAACTGCCTACATGCAGCCAGCCCTTTTCATCCCCTTACCGCTCTGTATTTCAACACTTGTTCCTCCCCAAATCCCCTAAACTCCTCCTTTGCCCCACTTTTGGTTCCTCCCCTAAACATCGCATAGGAAGTCCTGTGGGATCCCAAACTGGTTTTCCCCTGCAGCCCACGTTGTGGGCAGCAACACCCTTAGTATGACAAGACACTGGGCAGAGGCTCTGGGGGGACTGCCCTGGAGAGGGTGCTGCTTTCTCGGGGTCCTTGGTTTGGGTTCCCACCTGTGCCCCTGTGCTCCTCTGGGGCTGCGGAGATGGGCCCGTGATGGGCTTGCTCCAGGGAAAGGATTGGGAGCAGCTTCGCAGGGTACTGTTTGGGCTCCCCCTCCTGCCATAGCCTCTCCAGGCTCCCTTGAGGCTGTGCAGAGGAGCTTGATCACATAACCGAACATTCACAGCGCCACATAGTAAAATATTCCTCATACATGTGGATGAAGATAAGGCTTTAATTTCTTAAACTAAGCCTTTCATATTAAGAAAGCATCAGGATTAAAAATACCTAATCAGGAGGTTGATGTGCAAGTGTTTTGGAATTCTAGGAAAAAAGACCTGCAATTTACAATGACACAGCCAGTTTATTAATTTCCCATTGGCTATTAACCTCACAGTCTCCGTCAACTCCAACCAAATTTAACAAAAAGGAAATGAGATACTGAATTCCCACATTTTTTGTTGAAGTTCATGTCTGGTTACAGAAGAAGCCAAATTTATAAGGACTACTTCTCACAGAGTCATAATTAATTCCCTTATTCTCTTAAACAGCACAAAACACCCAAAACCAAAACAAGCCAGCTGGCCATTCAGCTACAAATGAGGCATTCATGCAGCCATCTATGCAGCCAGGCAGGTAGGAAACACAAGGGACAGCTGGTAACAATCACGTAGCAGGAGAAGGGACACTATGGATTTTTCCATAGGAATTCAGGTTTTATTAGCACATATTTCTACTACTCGTAATGGTAATAATTTCTTCATACGGTTTCTTTCTATTTCTTGAATGATTACCATTGGTAAT